GCACTTAAAAAAAAAATCCCCTCTGCAGATCTGGGAATTGCTGCTAGGAAGAGGCTTTAAACTGGCCACTAACTGAGAGTGAGACAATGCATTAACCAGTGTGGGGAGAGCAGAACTGCTGAAAGTTTACTAAAAAGCTTGTCAGCAGGTTGAAATGGTCACTTCCTGCCATGCAGGCCCTTAGCTGTGTCAAGGTGGCTGGAATCTGCACAGGCCATGCTTTGTGGCTTCCTTGCCATGGAGGCTCTTGCAAAACGTCTCGAGGCATGCAGTTGGATGTTACACTGTGTGACTAAAAGCAAAGGAGGCCCAGGAATAGTAAAATATTCAAAATATTTTCTTGTTGGGTTTTTACAAGTAGAAGTATAAACACATGTGTGTGAGTGAGAATGAAATCACAGCGCATTATGACTGTTTTGGAGCCTTTACCCGCAATTTCCTCTTACCACATTTACACTCAGAAACGCGGGCATGTGTAGCAGGATTCTTGTCACTCATGTTATGCATCCAGCCTGAGGAGTTATAATCAGCCTTTAAATAATATGGAGGCAATTTTTACATTTATTGCAGTGTCTCATTGGTGTTAATCTCTCTGTATGCCTTGTTAAATACTTGGAATCAACCCATCGGATCGCTCCGATGTATATTTGTGATGAAAAGTAGCACAAACAGAATGAGATTTTGAGGGGTCAGAGAAGGGAGGGGAAGGATCAACAGCAATGACAAACAACAAACAAAAAGCTTCAAAACCAAATGACAATAGCAGCATCCTTGTGTGAGTATAACATGCTTCTGCAGTGCCCGCTGCAGTGCCACACTGAGGCACTGGAGAGGGTATGCAATTAAATGCAAGTCATAACTTAATTTGTTTTTATTTAATAGAAATGCCTGTATGTTTCTGTTTCATTGTCCAAGATGAATGCAAAACGCCACAAAAATAAATGCAACGAATTTACCAAAGAAATCCTCCTCAAACTTGTTTGCTTTTGTGCTGGTGATGGTGCAAGTAACTGTGTCTGTTTTATACGTCTGGGGTCTGACTCTCATTTATGTTATTCTGGCATCTCGGCAACACTTTGCCATGGGTATAATCATATGCCAGATTGGTGTGTAAATGCCTGAGTGCACAAAGAAAGGAATCTGTGATTTTCAAACCTGACGGTGCCCTAACCATGAGGAGACACTGCTTGTTCTGCACTGTACTGCTTCATTTCTGACCACTAAGGGTTACTATTGTCATTTGTTGAATGTGTAATAGGATTTAAAGATGGATTAAGCTAAATGTTTTGGCTTTAAAAGTTTGTTTTGTTTTGTTTTTCCTTATTTTCAGAAAAGAAAGCCTCTTTCTTTTCTGCGTGCTGTACAAAGAAGGTTGTACAGTTTAAACAAAACCTAATGGAAATTCTTGAATGAGGCAAAGATGCTGCAGTTCAAATACATTCATTCTGTTTTTGTGGTGATGTGGCATCATCATGACTGGAGTTTGTTGTTCCATTTTTTGGTTGATGTGTAGCCAGGCAAAGACTCTGACTTAAAAGCTTAGGATTCAGATTTCCAGCCCAAGCTTTTTTGAGAATCATTATCACTGCAATTGGGCAAGAAGACATTTTATAAAACAAACAAACCAACACAAATAAACAGCGCTCACAGTATTTTTTCACATTTTCAACCTCATGCTAATTTTGTTTTTCATAACTGCATTAAGCAAATGAGGATGAAAGTTACCATAGGTCATAGGCTTTTACTTATTTCCTGAGAGGCTCTAATACTTTCTTTTCTTTTTGTAAGTGAGTAAAATTTGTTTCAGATACTCAGTGCGTAACCAACCATTTTTGTAAACTCCCTAAATTCAGAGTAATAACAATTCAGCCAACTAATATATGCCTTAAGTGGATTACTAAAGCATGTTTATGTTCAAGCTAATCCTATTGTAATGTAGTTCTTTCAACTGGAAGTTTTCTTCTCCAATCTGTGCTGAATTTTGCTCACTTCAGAACTTCACTGTGGCTGGAGAGAGAGAGAGGAGAGAGGAAGGGAGGGAAGGGAGACTTATTATTCCTAAGGATGCACACATAACTTGTCTGTGCCAGGAAGCTCATTGCTCCAAGAATTCCTGCTGCCTTACCATCATGCACTTATCTTTTCTGATCCTCTCAGTGCAAAGTTATCAGGAGAGGCATGGAGCAGATATTTTTATGGCTGGAATGGCACAATGCTGTCACTTGTCCCTGCCACACAGTTGGCCAGATCAGACATGATTCCCATGTCTGCTACCTCTGGAAGGCATTTTCATCTCACACACAATCCAGGGAGTTGTTGCTTTTCAGCTGGAACGATCATAGAAAATCCAAACCAGAACCATATCACTGGACTACATTATTCAAATGAGAGGTCAAATTACCCCCACTGATGTAAGCAGGGTTGCCAAGGTCTAAATGAAGACACAACTTGGCCAAAGGTCTGTTTCTAATGTGAGGTTTGAGGGCTGGTAGGTCTTGCATCTAATATCAAACAGCTGCAGGACAGTGCCAGCTCTTTTGGAAAGTACACACACGTGTCTAAAAAAGTCCTCCTCAGACAAAAGCATAAAACCTAACAACCCCAAATTTTAATGTATTATTTAAACCTCACCAGCAGAAAGCTGAAAGTATAATTGCTTATTGTTGCCTGCCTTTTTGGTTTGATTTCTCTGTATGAGATTATTTAGACACATTAAAGCATGCTAAGATATTTCAGCCTAATGGTCATGCTGCTTATCCCCCTGCTGCTCCCACTCACACACTCAGACCCCTCAAGGGCCTTGACAAAACTGAAATCTCAATTCTTGTATCGTTTGCACCCCTGTAGATCTGTGGCAGTTTCTATTCATTTGCATTTACCAACAGAAAGCAAACTCAGGATGTACATTTGGTGTGATGTTAGCACAAGTAAAAAGAGAACTCATTTGTTTAGTCCTTACAGTTTCATTTTGCAGTGCAGTTTTTGGTGTCCTAGGTTTACATGAGAATACACTTTTATAACTATAATCACTCAAGAACTCAACTGCGGACATAAACATGAATACATCTCTCCAAAATTGTTAATGGCCAGTAAAGTATCCTTTTTCTGAATTACTGCCAAGTTTCAAAACTGCACGCGTCATCTTATCACGTACTATACATTAAGTGTTGGTCATGTAAGTCGGATCTGCCCTATGGGTATTTTAAATTGCAAACATAACTTTTTGGAAACACTGTTGTAATGTTGTTTATTTGCCTTGGTTTCTAAATCAGAGTAGTTGATTTAGACATGCCAGAATGTACCAGTTTAATGGGTTTTTCCTTATTCTTTGCTACTTTTCATACCCTTACCTGAACAAGAAAGAAAGATCAAGCAATTTGATAGATAGTTGAGCATCATATGGTGTCTAAACTCTCCACTGAATTTGTAGTAAATTTACAGCATGCCTTTTTTTTTCTTTCTTTCTTTTTTTTTTCTTTTTCTTTTTTTTTTTTTTTTTAATTTATAACCAGTACAGAAATTGAGCTTAATGCAGCTTCTAAGTTAGCCATGAAAGAAATGTGATTTTTTTTTTTCTTTCTATCAGGTATTGGACATAATAAGCTTAAATGTTTAAGATAGCAATCTCAAAAACTTCAAGTTCATGTATCTTTCAACCTTTATGATTCCATAATTTTATGATTCTATGATCTTTCTTGTAATTTCGTGGTTCAGCTACCATTCTCCTTATACATATAATGTTGCTCTTAGATTGGGAGTAGTCCCTTATTTGTCATCTTTGATGTGTCAACCCATTGCAAGCCTTTCTTTCTGCTTGAGACCAAATGTCTCTGCTGTGCTGTAATGATGCTCAGTGCCTCTTTCATTTTTTCTTCCAAAATAATGAGAGGCTCTACTAGCAGCTACACTCCAAATTCCCAAATCACCAATGGGAATGGGAAGACATTAAGCAGCTTGGCGCACCAGAACTTACCAAGTTGTTTCCCCCTAGGACACTGTCTGCCTGGGGACTTTTGCAAACATTTTTCTTATGTTGCGTGTCTGAGTATTAGAAACAGAAGATTTTGGTGAAAGCTTTGAACAAAAATAGATAGCACTGTCCTTGAAAGTCATAGGTAGACAAGTGGATCATTATAGAGTTATATATTACACCCAGACTATATATGTGGGGTCCAAACAAGATGTAAAAAAAGTACAAGCATAGCAAGGTTGGCTTTTTAGAAAATAGAGCTGTAACATTTTGAAGCACAGAAGATTAAAGTAGTATTTCCAGACATTCTATTTCAGTGAATTATTGTACATGTAAAGCCAGTTGTGCTGGAAGTTGGAGAGACCATTTATTTCACAAATACTAATGCTATCCCTTGAAATGAAAATGGGATTGTAGAGATGATTACATCACACAGTAAGTTTCCAGGTAGCATCAGTTCCCAGGGACCAAATGGGACACAATAGTAACTGGATTGCTTTCAACCACGTCTTGTGTAAAAGACTCTATCATCAATCCATGTCCATGTGTGTTGAAGTTGGGATTTCTTTGCGGCAGAAGTAAAATGGGATGGTGCTGCCATAGGAATAGGCTCTAGCCTGGGCAGTTTCTGCTTCTGGATCGAGCATCTCTGCTCTTGTTGTCTGCAGAAGCAGCTGTCAGCCTGGCTTGTTGGGCTGTGCTGCGGATGAAATAGAGAAGAAAAACATCTCTTGATCTAACTGGCACCCACCTGCTTTCCTTGCACCTAGCACTGTTCCTGCTTTAAGAGAACAAATAGTCTGGGCAGACAGAATTACACTCTTAATTAGTGATTCCTTATGAATGGGAACTGCTGAGTCACGGCCTGAACCTCTGATTAGTCACTTGAGGCAAGCAATGAGTCAGCCCTGGGAGCACAGGTGAAAGCAATTCACCTGTGCTGCAGGAAGGGGTGGAGCCTGGCTCCACCTCTCCTAGACCCATTTAAGAGCTGACTACCAGTAGGGAAGGATCTCTATCTCTTCAGAAGATTCACTCCACTGGTCTTTCCTGAGCGAGCCCACAACACGGGTAAGCGTCCTATTTATTCTCTTTGTCTCGCTGTGCCTAACTCTCTTGCTTATTTCGTTATTATAACATCTTAATATTATTTGATTATATAACATTCCTTTATATAATTTTCATAGAGTATGCACCTTACTATTGTAGCCTGATCTTTAATTATTAATGCTAACTAGAAATACATGGTACAGCCAGCTGGAAACAGATTGAATAAGAGGAGGAGCTGAGAAAGATTACTGGTCCTCCTGTAACTGTGGAAAGGGTGTCCTTTATGTGAACGGTCAAGGATTCATAAGTGTTACTTCCTCACTTTACTACCCAAGAGAGATCTCTAAATATTTTTTTTATCAATTATTTACCTCACGATATATTATAACACTGCAAAAACACTGAAGCGTTCCCATTCTGTCTGTGTTATGGCTTTTGAAGTCAACAGTCTTTTGGCACTACTTCCATAAATGGGCTAGTGCATCTTTAAAACCAAACCATCAGAAAGCGCTTGAAATTGTAGATGTGAGCTGGGTGTTTTTGGATTTTATTTACATGGGTTTGACCATCCCCATAAGACACATAATGAGAAAAGGAACCAGCAAAGTGCTGAGAAATGGTACAGAATGTTCCTTCTGGTTGGGAGCTCATTCTTTCACATATATCAAAAAGCTGGGGCTGTCAGCTGGATCGAGTTTAGGCAATCAGCATACAGAAATCAGCTTTTTTCTTTGTTTCTTGCAGTCTATGGAAAGTATTGGCTAAGTTTTTGGTGACTTAAGAAGGCATTAAAGTGTTTGTGGATACACTTGTACCTTTTCTTCTTGAGCACTAAAATGGTGTTGGTGTTTTTTCTGTGCTTAGCATTCTTCTGATTGTTGTTTGCTAACCTGGGGAAATGTTCTAGTTACAAGTATGATTCATTTCTGTGCTGCTTTCACTTACTCTAATTTTACATCAGTGCAGTTCCATCAGAGAAGCTGCACCAGCATCAAAACACCAAACAGACCCACAAAGCAAAAAAACTGAATAGTTTTTAATGAATTATGGAATTGATTTGGTGCACTATCTAAACTAATATAGAGTGTACATTTTAGCAGAGTTTATATAATGATACAACTCCCAGTGCAAGAGGATTAATGTTTACCTAGAGCTGAAAAGAAAATTTGCCTATATTTTAGAGCTGTGTTGTTGATAGCTTGCCCTTTTGAATAGAAACATCTCCATTACAGGTGCTATCATTTAAAATTATTCTTCCATTTAGCATAATCTGGATGAACATTCACTCAGGTCAAAATATTTTTCTATTTTTTTTAATGTCTTCACCACATAATAAAAATGCAGTAGAAAGAAAATACCTCTTATTAGTTCTGAGTAGAGAAGGAACCCATCACCTATTAAGCTATTAAAATTGCATCAATATCATTAGGGAGTAAAGAGTCATCTTGCTTTTCAGTATCTGCTGTCTGATGTAATGAGGATGGTGTGCTGACATGCTGCTCACATTCCTTACATGGCTTGTGGAAAGAGTCATGATCCAAAGGAGCAAAGAATAGACGCTGGTATAAAACTCTGTTAAAATTTAGACTTCCAGTTTTGTTCATGTTGCCAACCCAACATCCTGTCATGGTGTCTTTGCTATTGTTGTCTTCTGCATAGACCGAGTTGCTGCTTAGTAGATTAATTAAAGACCAGGCAAAGGAATTTCTTTGGGTTTCTTTCTCATGCTTTACTGTTCATAGCTCCTGACGGACTTCTCATGGTGACATATGGGTGATCTGTAAGGTGCTTTCACATAATAAAGTGAGACTATCCCTCCATGGTCTATGAGCTGTTTGTGAATCATCAAGAGATGCCAGTTGATGGTATCCTTTCTATTGCTCCCTTCTCTTGGTCCAGGGAATTTCATCTGGTCTGTAGCCTGGCTCCTGAATGACTCCCACAAGACAGGGCTTGTACAAGGTTGCTACAGTAGCAACCTTAATCAGCTGCTGTGTTTTCAAACTGCAGTTATGGGTTGTTGAAAAGTTTTCCTACAAGCTGATGCTGTAGTGAGTATCTGTAGAAGTGGAATGCTTGCATGTTGCAAATATCTTATCACTTGTTCACATGCACAGAGGACAGGTGTGTGCAACAGGCAAACCCTCAAATCTTGAATCAGAAGTCCTTATTTATTTTGGGTCTGAGGTTCAACTACATATCCTGGTACAGAGGGAAAATAGGAAGGAGGGAGGAAAAATTATATTGTGGTTACCAAATTTACTTTAGGTCAGATGAGTCAATGGACCTCTTATCCAACACAGGACTGGAAATAACTGCATTAAATACAGCTAATGCATGAAAGGGTGTGAGTTAAGTATGCATTTCATCACCTTGTTCATGGCAAATCTGTGTAAATAGAGATATTACATATGGAAGCAGCATGCCGTTTTCCTGCCTTGTGGCTAACCCACTACCAAGTCTTTGTGCAGATTAGAGAGTGTTTAATTGAAATACACTTGGAATAATTGAAAACTTTAAAAAGTTGTGCTGGATGTTTTTTCAATTTTAAAAATCAAGTGTGCCGCTGGTTGCTAGTATCACCAGAATAATAATTAAGATTTTTTTTTACAATTATTAACAATAATATTATACGCATATGTTTGTGTAGGTATGTATGTTACATCCACACAGGAAAAGAAACACTCTAATGTGACAGTGAATTTGGTAACTTTGACCAAAAATGAAATTTTTGAAGACAAATCTGTCACTGATGTGCCTGGCTCTTGAGGGGTCTGGCAGGATCAGGCCTTGTTTGTACAGCAATTGTGGTACCACGCTGTCATTTGTTCTGCACTGAGGGCACCAGGCTGTCAGGGCACCAAGCACAAACCTGGTCTGAGCCCACAGCTGTGACATGGAAACACTGCTGTAGTGCAGACAGAAAACACTGCATTAAGTGCAAGATGCCCATGACTTTGGCCCTTGCAACAACTAACGTGGAGTGTACATTTTAGTTGCTGTAGGAAGCTTCAGGCTATGAGAGGAAAGTAAAGCAGACTGTACAGATGTGTTGACTGAGAGGAACTTCCAGCAAGGGCCCGTGCCATGACTCTGTAGGTTGCTATCTCGTTCCTCTCCAAAACAAAGCAACAAGCTTTCTTTTCCCACTGTCTTATTGATGTTTGAGGGTGAATTAGAGGTCCGTGCGATCCTGCCTTGGATTCATTGACTGCATCAGACATCAATGCCTGTATGTTTATGCAGCTATGCCAATGCACCTCTGTTGTGAGGAGCTCTGTGTGGTGGGCACCTGCTGAGCCAAAGAGTTGAAATGAATAGCACCCACATTGATTTGCCTATAATGGAGTGGAAAAGAAAAATGTTCAGGTTTTGTTGCAGGTATTTTCATGGGGTATTAAATTGGTGGATTAGTTGCAAACAGCAGTACTGATAAAGTCTCCTGTCCATCTTGATGGTTGGGCCTTTCTATTAAAATGACACATAAATAACCTATTATGTCCCCCACCCATGGAAATTCAAATGCACCTGTCAACTTGATAAAGCACTTGCCTGGAGGGAAGCATTGTTTACATTTTCACTCCATTCTTCAGAAAAAGTGAGATTCTAATTATTTTTCCCACTGTAAATTAATGCTGACTATGATGGTTAGCATATCTCTGTATTGTTATATCTATGCAAAAGTTAAATAATAGAACTGATCCATCATGTATTATGCAATGTGCATTTTTATGACAGGCTTCCCTCTGATCTTATTATGCCTTTCTTCATAAATACTTACTTTTTCCCCCAGCAGCTGGGGGAATCTTTGACTGCTGGTTCAGAAGTTGAAATCTGTCCTGTGTAAAAAGGAAAATGCAACGTACATGTTTATCGGATGCTGAACTCTATCTTCCAAGGACAGAAAAATAAGGATATAAAAATGCTCTCCTTTAATAATAAGATTCATTATAACAGACAGTTGGTCACAGTGCACTAAACCGTTTTTCTCCAAACCAAGCACATCAAATTTAATACTATAACACAATTGTTTCTGGATATGTTACACGGTTACTTTTGATTCAGGATGGGGAAACCAGTTGAGGTGAAATCAAATGTGAACTAAATCTTTCTTCCAAACATAAAATCACACCACACATTTGCCCAAGACTTGAACCATAAATCATTGGTTAGAGTTCCAAGCAGTCTGTTTAGGTTTTTTTTTAGTAACAACTTTTTTGTATGTATTTCATGAGTCCTGCTTAAATGAAGGCAGAACTGCTGAGATACCACAAAGGAGGCTGTTTTTTTTTTTAAATACTTGTGACTGTGCTACACGTGGGAAATATTATTGTCAGAAGAATTTTTGCTATCTGGTTTCTTAACTTGAGCAGGGAAGAAGACATTGCTTAGAGGCTCTTGGTATGCTCGGAGAGCCCCAGGAGACAACCTGATCTTTCAAGTTTTCTGACAAGTTTTGCAGACCCAACTGGTTTGCATACCCTGTTGAAGGCTTATGCAAACTGCCCTGAACCTTTGACCCTTTATCTGCTTGTTACAGTGGGTTTCTGCATTTCCAGAAAAGCAATTACAATGTTTGCAATATCTAAAATATAAAACCCCAGTGCAGGAAGATGGAGTAAGCTCTCAATAAGAAAATGCTTTTGCGACTGAGGTACTTCTGGAGTAGGTTTGGCTTGCAGCTGGTTTTCTGGCCTTATGATGGCAGAAGAAAAGAGTCTTGGATTGAGGATGAGTTGGAGTGAGAGGGGATTGCCAGTTTTGACTGCAAAGGAAGACCGAGTTCCTTCCTTTAACTGAACTTTCTCTCTTTTTCATGATCTTTTCCCCCTTCTTTTCTACAATGAAACCAGCATTTATTTTACTACAGTGACCCATCAAATTCTTACATAAATACTCCAGGCCGTTACACTGTACTGTCCTTGCTGTCTGGAACATGGTTGCAAAATTGTTTTCCTCCAGTTTTCTCTCCATGAGTTACCTCTGTAGTGATGTCTGCAAGAAAACAGTTAATTACTGGT